ACAGGTGGAAAAGAGATAAGTGGAGGAGACGCTTCTGCTCCTCTTAGATGTTTCACATGTGGAGGTGTAGTTCATCACGTTGCTGAGTGCAATAGCGCGGGCTTGAAGTGTTTCAAGTGTGGGAAACAAGGTCACCGCTCTACTGAGTGTAAGAGCAATGTTTTGACTTGCTACAACTATAGTGAATTGGGTCATATTAGTACCCAGGGGAGATGTATACGCTCAGGGGAGTAGAAAATGCTTTATACTCATGTGATGGGGAGTTTAAACACTCTAAAATTTATCTAATGTTTTCTCTTTTCCACTTCCCTGAGAGATGTGTTGTCATCATTAAAAAAAGGAAGAATGTAGATCTATGCATTTGCATATATAGTCAATAAGTGATCAAAGATGGTAAACTTATGGATAACAAAGATGCAAGTCAACTAGTAGCTGCTTAGTTTTGATGATGACAACACTTAAAGTCAAGCAATTCCTGAAGATAGCTCAAGCGATTAATGATGCTTAAGATAGTTGATTAAGTTATCCTTTCAAATCAATCTAGAAATTTATTTAAAGTCAACACTATAGTGCAATAATTTTTAAGTGAAGACTTAAGCTTCAAGGATCACCGATGGTTGAACCTATCTAACTCTCAAATAATGATAATCAACATGGAAATATCTCAAGAATCATCAAGAAGAATCATGGTTTTTGTATGATGCTAAAGTCAAAGATAATAATGCCAAAATTTGAAGATTCAGAGTTGTGAAAGATGTATACCTTTGAGTATAAAAGATATGCCTGATGGCATTTGATGATGTTGATGCTTGTGATCCAAGAATGTTCATTGATGGTGTATTTCGATGGACATGATCAAAAAAAATTTCTTTGAGGATGGTTCTCAATACTTATGATACGTGATGATTAGTTAACCTCTTAGTAGGTTGATAAGATGAGCATGTAATGTATTTATCTATCTCGTTGTTTTTAACTAACTCTCATATCCAACAATTCGCAGAGAAGGATTTACGAAATTATTTTGTTATTCCCTCGAATGGGGGGGGGGGGGGGGGGGGGGTTTATCAAGGGCATTTGATATTTAAGGCCTTACACTTTTTAGAGGTTGAATAATTGTAAAACTCTGATTAACCCTCTAAATAAGTGGTTTATTATTTTCTTCTTAATTAATAATTATTATTACTAATGAAATACTTGTGTTTTTGAGATTTTTGGAGAAAAGGGTGCCATATGGATGAAAGGGGGTGTAAAAAGTAGTATGCTAAATCTAAATCTCAACCCAAGGCCTAAAAAATAAAGGAGGCTGAAACTATGGCAATAGTCAATTAACCCAATTGATTAGATAGCTTATGCATTTCAATTTTCAGATGAAATTAGGTTGAATCTTCGCCTCCAAGAAAATCAAATAAGAGCATAGATAGAGAACACACAAGATCTTCAAAATCATCACCACATAATCGATCAAGCCTTAAAAATAATCGATTAGAAGGCATGTTTTGGTTATGATATTTTCTGGTCCAAATCTTCAAGGATTTTGTGATGTTTTTGCACGCTTAAACAGTCAGAAGGAACATTATAAATATGTAATCTTATTCCCTTAGTTTTCATAATCATTTTCTCTTTTCTTCTTGTGTCTTTGTGTGAGTTTTACTCTACACCATAAGTATCATCATTTATGGCTCCGACAAGAAGTCTCTACTCTAGAGTTTCTTCTTCAAGACGATTGTTTGTGGAAGGTTGAACCTCAAGAAGTCTAGAATGGTATTAAATTCCCAATTGTAGGTTACTGCGACTTATTATTATGTAGGAAAATTTTCTCAATAACTTCAAGTCGTATGTTCACATCTGCCAAGGGTTGCTAAGGAAATTTCTTCATAAAAATACCAGTTGAGTGTTACTAAATCTTGTAAAAGAGTTTTACTCCAACCTAAATTTTTAAGTTCTATCCTTAAAGTCATATGTAAAAGGAGTAGAGATTGATATTCATGGAGATCAATTATGCATAATGTTTCAACAACCCTTTTGTGGTGTGTCTTATACCTTAGATGGGCCAATTAAGTTCAAAAAATTCAAACTTTCCACTATTATCATCTCGTTTTGTCATGAATCCCATGGAAGATAAGAAGTTTCCTATCAAAGAAAGCTACTTAAAGGCGAAGATTCGTGTGGCTCGCTACTTGATCACAAGGATACTCCTTCCAAGGGAAGATAGTTTTGAACTGATAATTAGAGAGGATACGGTCCCCTTATGTTTATTAATAAAACAATTTCAACAAAAAAATGGGTTGATGACATGCTTATTTACATATCTAAGGCAACAAAAGTTGAAAAACATGATTATCATATGAAGCTCTGATCGCCAAGATATTAGATATTGTAGAAGTCACACAATAGGAGAATCAACGGATCTAACCCACTCCAAGGTCAACTAATCTTATCTCATTAGAATGAGGTTTCATATATTTTGAGGAGAACTTAGGAACGAATCAATGGATAAAGACAAAAATGTAGCTCAATCAGCCGCATTGAGTGATACAAACTTCAATACACTTTTGGAAATTTGTTAACAAAATGCTCCGACCATTCAGGACTTCTCAAAGGATACAGCTATCATCAAGAGAAACACCTCAAGAGATGATGATGTTAATGGAAATGAGTAGTCTCAGTTATGTAATTTAGCTTTAGCAATTAAGTCTGTTTAGTTTTCTGCATTTTCCTACTTCTAGAATCTTCATATTTGCTCGTAATTTTCTTTGCCAACATTTAAATTCTAGTATATAAACTAATATAGCAAAAAAAATTCCTTTTTTTAGTAAAATATGTTTACATATGTGAACTATGTACTCGCATATTTATAAATATTGTTTAACATCTTTACCCGCCTTTTTGATTATGACAAAGGAGAAGAAGTATATTCTCAATGGAGTAGAATACACTTTCTACTAATGTGATGGGGAGTTTAATCACTCTTAAATTTATTTAATTTTTTTTCTCTTTTACCACCTCCTTGAGAGATGCGTTATCATCGTCAAAAAAAGGGAGAATGTTGATTTATATGTTTGCATGTATAATCAAGAAGTGATTCAAGATGGTAAAACTTATAATAACAACTGTGCAAAATCTTTTTTTGGTTTAGAGACTAACCACTTTAAGCCTTGTACATTGTTTAGTTAGAAGTTAGCTTGAAAACTTAATTTTCTTGTATAAGGGAGTTCGCGGGCACAACCTTCTAAAAGCTCTCAAGTTTAGTGGATACTCTAAAAAACAGTTATCGAGGATATAATTAAGTCTTTTTGGATGGACCTGTATAATCATCCGGTGTCATCTCTCTTACCTTAATTATTTTACTTACCAATATTTTTCTTTATTTTGGTGTTCCGTTGCATATTTACTCAAAATATTTTTCAACTCTAATTTTTCAAATGAATTTGTTTTAAACTAAATTTTTTCAGACCTCCACAATTCACCCTCTTTTGTGTATGGAGTCACATGTCCAACAAAAGTTCCTTTATGGAATCAAATTTTGGTTTCTTCAAATATTTGGCGAGCATATCTATAACTTGCAATTCTGACTTGCAATATTCAATCTCAAGAAGTGGTATTTTTTGTCAATGTGTTTGCTTCTACCACGACTCACGAGATTGTTAGACAAATCAATTGCAGACTTGTTATCAACAAGTAGATTGATTTTCAAGATTTATGTGACATTTATTTCTTCTAATAGCATTTCCATCCATATTGCTTGGCAAACTCCATATGAGGCTACTACATACGCGACTTCATAGGATAATAAAGTCATTATTCTCAGCTTCTTTGAACTCCATGAGATTAGTGGTTTTCTAATCATAAATAGATAGCTTGTAATACTTTTCCTACCATCTCGATCACCTCTCAAGCCTTAATTAGAATAATAATATGTTCTTACTTTCTTGCAATTGTTCTTATGGTTTGGCATAAAAACACCATGACCAATTATGTCTTTGATGTATCTTAATATCCTCATAGCAACTAATATGTGACATGTTCTTGAGTTGTCCATGGACCTACTTGCCAAGACAACACTCTGACAGATGTCTGACCTAGTGTTGAACAAGTATATGAGTGGGCCAATGATTTTTTTGTATAGAGTTGCATCTACAAGCTCATCATTTGTATCTTTACTCGGATTTATATCTTTCTTCACACGAGTGATTGCAAAATTGCAATTACTCATCTAGAATCTATTTAAAAAGTCTTCTTCATATCTTATGATGTAAGAAAATTTTCTTTTCTGAGTTTGCAAATTCCATTCTCAAGAAATAGAATATATTTTTTAGGATTTGACATTTTAAACTCATGCATCCTATTAGCCTTAAACCTTGTTAGGTCATCTTCATTTGATTTTATAACCAACAAATCATCTATACATAGACACAAAATAATTTGATTCTTCTCATTTAAACCCTTCAAATATACTCCAAGTTTTTATGTGCATTAAGTGAATCTCAATTTGATGATGAGGTTATTAATTATTTTGTTCTAGGATTTAAACCCTTCAAATATACTCCAATTTAAAAACTAAAAATAAATAATAATAATAATAAAATAACATATTATACTTTCTACAGTGTAGGAACATTGGAAGAAATGAGGGAACCAATACCCAACAACGAATAAAAGTTAGAGGACCCCACGAGAAAAAGGTAGATAGTCCAAAGTGGAGGAAGATGCGTCCAAAGCACGAGAGGGTACTCAATTACTCCCACAATAACTAAACATCAACTTAACTGAGAAAACAGTGCCCATGGATAGTGCGTAATTTAGCACTACGAGGCATCATCACTCATCAGCATCATAAATTTATTACGCTTCGTTCGTTTCCGCTATTACCCCATTTCACTCTCAATCTCTGATCATAACAACACACAGTTTCATAGTTCTCTCTCGCTCGCTCTTCTTACTCTGATCAACTCGCCCTTCTTACTCTGATCAACTCGCTCAACTCAGTTGAAGCAGAATCCATGGTTTCCAAACCTAACGATTCTCCTCTAATTCTCCATCAAGTCAGTTTCACTTTTACGGATTTCTGATTTTTATCTTGAAATTTCGTTTATGTTTTGTTACCGTTATTAATTTAATTCGGTTAAACACTGTACATATTACGTACGTGATGTTTAGTATTTCACCTGCTTAATTGTATTGGAATTGAATTTTTCATTTGTTGGAAACTTCAGGATTTTGATTTTCGGACTTCGATTTTTTGTGTATGAGTTTTGATTTTTGAAAAAATGGAACTGTGATGGTGTGTTATGTAATATTGACAGAAATTAGTTGAAGAGCCGGCGGATGATGCTGTTGGAGCCTTGTCCCCCAAGATAAATCAGTTGAAAAAGCAAATCCAGGCAGAGAGAATTGAGTTCATTGCTGTAAGTATTTGATTGAGAATTTCAGTGTTTGATCTTGTGATTTGATTCTTGGAAAGGGCCTAGATTTCTGTAGTTTGTTTGCTGGCAAGATGTACTTTCAGTGATAGTGTCGTATAGTGAAAGTGATGAGTTTGGATTGACGAAATGGCAATGTGCCTCCATGATTCTGACAGAAATTATACTTTGTCGCTTTAACAAAATCATGAGGTTATGGTGATTTTGTCAAACTCGCTGTGATTTCAAACATGTACTTGTTATTCCATGCAAACTTCATTTTGTAGGATTGTTAGTTTGGTTTTTCTTGGATCATTCTTGTGGAGAACTGGATTTGGATAGCTAGTGTTAATAAAGCACATAAGAAAGCATAAAGTATGCTATAAGAATGCCACACGAAATCTCTTTTGATTTCTGTTTGCTTTTACACTGTGCTAATTTGTTTGATTATATGGGTGTGGATTTTATCAATATTTTTTTATTTAGCCGACTTTCCGGGTTGAACTTTATGTTGTAACTGTTCAAGTAAACTTTAGTGTCAGAACAAAAAAAAGAGTAAACAGTGTCAACTGAAATTCAAGGTTGGGATAGCTTCTTTTTGAACATCATGCTGTTTGGCTTGCAGTTAATGGTAATTATTTTTCTGTAGGAAAAACTTCAGAGGAACCAGAAGAAGCTGCAATGCCACATTTCAGGAATAATGGTAGCAATATCAACCAGGGACTCCTCACAGGCGGAAGAAAACAAGACATGTCCAATTCTTTCTTCAAGAATGGACCATCCTTCATGTAAGTTCGACGGTTTTATCAATGTTTCAGGAGACAAAGACCACAGCAATCAAGACATATCATCTGTTACAAGCATCAAGATTCCGCGTATTGAAAGATTGCCACCATATACATCGTGGATATTTTTGGATAGGTGTTTTGACTTATACATATTTTAATTTCCTGTATTTTGCCTGATGTGCCCTTTTTGACAAAGTAAAACTACCTACTGCTTGAATATTTTGCATTTAAAAGTAGAATATGGGATTTCAAAACTTATTGATCAACAATGTGTATGAAAGTTCAATAATGTATTTTCATCTATTTTAAAATCTTTCACTCGCATCAGGAATCAGAGAATGGCTGAAGATCAGTCAGTCGTTGGAAGAAGACGGATCTACTATGATCAACGTGGAAGTGAGGCATTGATATGTAGTGACAGCGAGGAAGAATTAACAGAACCTGAGGAAGTAAAACATGAATTTTCTGAGGCTGAAGACCGAATTTTATGGTAAGTAATATTCATTATGATAGAAATGCTTTAAGAAGGTTCATTCATTTATGAAGAAAGATTTAATGAAACAAGAACATTCAATCTGGATTGTAATAATTGTGGTTATCTATAGATTCGTTGATTAACATATTTAATTAATGAGTCACATAAATGCTCTGTTGGAGCACACATGGTTTTCTCGCTGCGCCTTTAGGAAATAAGACTTGTATCACAAGTTATGACCACACAAATTTCAAAACCAGATTTTAACTTACAGCCCATGATTTTCCAACTTTATTCCAACGTTCAGTGTTTCTACTTCTTTCTAGAATTATTGTCTTGACTATTGAATTTTCTAGGATGGCATTTGAGGAACATGGGTTAAATGAGGAGGTATTGAATGTTGTTTGCAAGCATGTTGGGGGAACCAGTTTAGAAGTCCAGGTAATCCAGAATAACTTGTAGGAAGGACTATATGCTTGACTATTGTTAATCTTCAACATCAAAAACAATATATTTCACCATGGAGATTTTCGGTGAGAAACCATTTTCATTTCTTAGAGAAACTATTTGCATGAAAAACACAGGAGAGGTACAAAAGTATCAGGGAAAATACTACTGGTAGGTTGGGCCAGCATTCAAAAAGCTTAGGAGAATATGACTCTCCTATGAGCATGTATCTAGAGAAAACCCTGAGTGATGCACTAGATTCTCTTGATAACCTTTTTTGTCGCCGGTGCCTGGTATGTACAAAAGCATCATATTTTTATTTTTAACATCGTCTTCAATTTCATAGTGAGTGCGTCTATACTTGTGATTTCCTGCGGCAGATTTTCGACTGTCGGCTGCATGGCTGTTCTCAACCTTTGATATGTCCGGTAAGGAATAATGCCCTATGTTATTTTCAAGTTAATCTATGTTACTTCATCAATAAATTTATTTTGATGGTTTGCTTCAGAGTGAAAAGCAAACAGTTTGGTCTGAGCCTGAAGGTAATAGGAAACCATGCGGTGATCAGTGTTACCTCCAGGTATATTCTTCTTCTTTGAATTTTGAAGTATTTTTTATATTTGAGGGTGAGAAATTTTCGGAGATGAAAATAGGTTTATTCAAATTATATTTTATTTTCCTTTGCTGGTATTTTGTTTAAGGTTTTCATTGACTTTGGAATCAGTGTGCAACAAATATGGTAGCTTTTCTATCTTCTGTTGATTAATATTGGAATTAATTCTACTAAAAAAATTGTATGAAGTAGCTTTAAGAAAACTTGTTTCCACTTCATACTTGATGAACAATTCTGTGTGTGTATACTAGTTCACCTCATTGATGTTTCTTTCTTATATATTTGATTTGATTTGATAGGGAAAATGTGTACAGAGTAAAGACTGACTGCCATTTCATTTTCTAGCAGTTCAATGTCGTAAAAAATATGCCAAAAGATACAACTCCTGGATCTTTTCGGGATAAGAAAATTACAATTGTAGAGGAAACAAATGGGATAATGTCACCGCCGTCCACTGTCGAAGAACCTGACAATCAGAGTACTAAACTTTCGACAAGAATTGATTGCCATGGATATCTTAATTTAAATGACCATGTCTCACAAAATTTAGAGAAACGGAAAGTCACAAATCAGTCAGACTCAAGATTGCCTCCTGATTCTCAGAATTCTAGTAAAAAGCTAAAAAGAGTCTCAGATGATGTAGTTACTGTAGTTAATGATAATAGCAAGAACCTAAACTTGGGTACATGTGATGAAAATAAACATATAAATACTTGTGCAATTTTGGGCAAATCGATTGAACACGCTTCGAATAAACTAATAGTTCCTTCTAGCACTTGCCACAGTGAGAGTGACAAAGGTGTTGTGAATGGATCCAAAGTTGTCACAAATGAGACAGAACTTAAAAAGCCGTTGAATTCAATGGAAGAACAGGTTGATGAAATGCCAGGTTTCTCAGATTGGAAACCTCTAGAGAAAGAGTTATACTTGAAGGGAGTAGAAATGTTTGGCAGAAACAGGTATGTATCTTTCTGTGTTTCACCTCACACGATTATGTTGATAAATGTTAGGATGGCATCAAATATAGTTTGAAGTGTGCGTGGCGACACTTTCTTGTTTCCAGTATGTGTTTTATGTTTCCCAATTTGTAAACTGCAAGCAAGATTTTTTAAAATTATTATTTTCATTACTTTATTTCTCCATAAATCTTACATATCCATCCTTCCTTTTAGCTTCACTTTCAATTAATCTTCTTAAATGCATGCATAGTTATGGGGAAAAAGGAAAATATGTAAATTTTGATACTTCTTTGTAGTAAACTATCCGGACTGTGACTAATGTTTCATAAGTAAATGGAATGAAAGAATAATTCATTTTTTGTCATAAATATTCCCTTGTCTTTATGTGCAATTCGTGCTCTGCAGTTGCCTCATAGCTCGGAACTTACTTTCTGGTTTGAAGACTTGTATGGAGATATCTAGTTACATGCATGATCGAGGAGTATCAATGCCCCACAGATCCATCTCTACAGCTAATTCAATCATGGATGACAAGGGAAAATTTGACACAGAGTGCACAGTAAGATTACAAGCTTCCCTGTTCCCGTCTTCTCTTGCCTTGCACTCTCATGTCTTGACTGTTTTTATGTTATTTTCTTATGAGAGTTGGGGTGAGGCTTGCTGAAGACGTAAAGTAAAATTTTCCATTTGCTATTGTGTATGAAAAGACCTTCACTTTTGCATCAGATTCACCCTTTATCTTCACTAACTAACTCTATTACATCATCTCAGTAACTATTACATCCCACTCTCCAATTTCTGCACTTCACACTCAACGACAGGTGTCTTAGGCCTTCAAGAATGCAGTCTTAAGGCTTTGGGGTTGGGCTTTATCTGATGCAGAAGCATTTGGGATCTCAGTCCCGTTGTGTTATCCTGATTGTAAATTACCTATCATTTTGTATTTATTGCCAAATAAAAGGGGTGTGTCTGGGTTTTACATGCATAGTGACTGAGTTGTGTTTTTGAGGCAACATATGTTGTTTCTTCTTTCTTACCTCTGTAGTTTCTTGTAGCCTTGGGAAGATTCTTGATCTTCCTGTTTTGCACAATGATTTTTTTCAATTTTGTTTTAGCTATATAACATTATTATCATGGAATGTTTTTCCTCTCAACTTCTAGCAACTTTTACGAGTGCCCTACTGTTTATTTGCCGCAAGAGTCCTTTTGAATGTGGGTTTTTGTGCTAGGACCAAGACATGCCATCTAGGTCACGGTTGCTTAGAAAACGAGGCAAAACAAGGAAGTTTAAATATTCTTGGAAGTCTGCTGGTCACCCAACAACATGGAAAAGAATTGCTGATGGGAAAAACCAATCTTGCAAGCAGTATACGCCTTGTGAATGTCAGTCAATGTGTGGAAAGGATTGTTCTTGTGTTAATGGTGGGACATGCTGTGAAAAATATTGTGGGTACGTAGCTTTTCATTTAACTGTGTAGCTTGTGTAGCAATGCAATGCAATGCAATGGGAGAGGAAATTACTGGATATTTCTTAATCTCAGTAACCGTGTTTGATTATTTGAGTTACATTGTTGGGAAACTATGGGGGCTATGGATGAACTTTAATGAGGTTGGTCTCGAAATATGGTCAAGTATGGTTTGACCTGTTTACATAAGATTTTGAACTCATCAAACAATAAAGGATTATTTGTTTCGGACTGTCAGTATAAAGCTGTTGGTCCAATACTTTTTTTCACATGTGGCAAGGCTTCTATAAAATGCATTTTCAACTTGATTTGTGAACTGTTATTCTGCCTTAAGTAATGTAATTTTTAACAAATTATGATTTGAATATAACAATTTTTCTATCTTCAGTTGTTCGAAGAGCTGCAAAAATCGGTTTAGAGGATGCCATTGTGCCAAGAGTCAATGCAGAAGTCGACAATGTCCATGCTTTGCTGCTGGACGTGAATGTGATCCAGACGTCTGTCGAAACTGTTGGGTTAGGTGATGTACCAAATCTTTTTGTTTTAAATATAATGTTATGCCGCTTCGGTTTTTGAATTACATGTCTTGATTCTATTACATCGCCTGATTTAGGAAGTCATTATTCTTTTGTACTTCTTCCTTCACAAAATAATTGATCCAGTTGAACAGTTCACACAGATTAAAAAAATGTATAGATGAAAGAGTGAGAATAATATTTTTTTTATTACAGTATCTTTTATCATTTATTGATGTATGCACCTTCACTATAAATACAAAGTGGAAGATATTTAATTGAAATTGATGCATGTAATATTAATTAGAGAGTATGATTGGATGAATAACAATTAGTGTTGAATTGATAATCGAAAGGAATCAGTCATTTTGGGACAGAGGGTGTCATGTCATCTACTGCTTGCTTAGATATTAATGCCAAACCATTGTGATTTTTCTTATCTTGCTGGTTTTGCCGGAATTGTACTACACAAATTACTTGTTTAGCATATCTTTTTCTCTTAAAAGATTATTTATCATATTACTTTTTTGTTACAATAATTTAACTCCATATTTTATCAAAATTTTGAGTCTTCTATTGACTATTAGTACAAATAATGATCAACATTCAACCTTTTTGTATCAGACCATAAATATCAAATTATATTCTCCGTGACCTGTTTCATAACTGTTTTGCAATTGAGTTCCCAAAAGAATGAAATTTTATTCAAATTTGGAACTCAAATCATAGTATTGACCATGCACAGATTCCAGCCGTTTTTCTCTCTCCTATATTATGTCATTTTTTGGGTGTTCAGAATTAGTCTGTCGTGTGATCCTTATTCAGCTTGGTTCCTGTCGTTCTTGCAGACTGTTTTGGTTTTGTGTAGATTTTGTCTTAGTCGCAGTCTGATTTGACTTAGTCTGTTCCAGTTTAGCACTATTAGAGTTTGGCTTAACACTACCCTACAAAACCGGTTGGTAAGGTGAGAGGTGTCACTCTATATAAACTATTTCAATGCTCTATCTCCAACCAATATGGGACTTTAGGATCTTCCTAATACACCTCCTCACGCTCAACACTCTTTTTGGGCTTGGTGTGTGGATTTAAACGGTGGGCTGCCCAAGGTCCGATCGATAGGCTTTGATACCATATTAGAGTTTGGCCTAACACTACCCTACAAAACCGGTTGGTAAGGTGAGAGGTGCCACTCTATATAAACTATTCCAATGCTCCCAGTCAAGATACAAGGGATTCGCACCACCGGTGACCGATCTGCGCCGGGAACAAGCGGCGTCGTAACAAACCGTTGCAGTTTGTGGTCGCGAATCACACCCTCAATCTGCTGTTTCCATTGCTTGAAGTTTCTTCCATCAAGCTTGACAGAGATGAGGTGAGAAAGTTTGATGTGAGAAGAGGGAAAAACACCCTCAGAATTGAAAGGAGAAGCCATGGGAGCACGGGAAAGAAAAAGGCTCTGATACCATGTTAAGATAATAGAAAGAGAGAGAAGAATCTGATTTGTATTTCATTCTTAGCAAAATAGAATACAATCAGTAGCTATATATAGTTGGGATTGTTTGTTATCACAGATGGCACAGCTCACTAACAAACTTACAGTTGTGCCCTAACAAACAAATAACACACAATAAGAGAATAAGACAAACAATAGAATAAGACAAAATAGTAGAATATTCTATTCTAATAAGCACTACTTTTCCCCCATTGTGGTATGGCCGTAGCCTTGGACAACTCATGTTCTATATGTGATCCGGATCTACCAACTTTCCCTATCAAATAACATGAGTTCTATTTTCTTTTTCAAAGAGCACGTTCGTAATAAGTTTATTAAAGCTTAGTAAGCAAATGTCTTGAAGAGGAGTGTCAGAATATATACAAATATCTCACATTATCTTGATATTGTCTCAGGGTTTAAGATTTATTCATGTTTCAATCAGGAAATGTAGTCTTCTATTAGTATAGATAAAGATTAGTGTTTACTCTTTGCTTATCAAATCACAACTATCGTTATATCAAATAATATCCAAAATTTTAAGTTTATTTTGCCTCTTCCCTCCCTAATCGTGAAATGATAATCTCTACGTCACCTTTATCTTGAAGTTTGATGCAACTTTAGTTCTCTGTACTTATGTATCAGTTTGAAATGTGTCCAGTGTCTAACTTTTACAATTTGTTTGGATTTGGATTCCACCATCCACCTTAAATCATCACAAATGCCTTTAAACAATGCACTATTTGTACAGCTGTGGGGATGGCACATTGGGGGAGCCACCACGGCGTGGAGAAGGTCAATGTGGAAATATGAGACTTCTTTTAAGGCAACAGCAGAGGGTTAGTTATTCTGAGTTGATGTATGAATTATTTGCATGCTGTTGTCATAAATCAAAGTGATGAATATCTAGTTCATGTGATTTGTCTCACATTGTTTTTATTTCTGTCTATCAGATTCTCTTGGGGAAGTCTGATGTTGCAGGATGGGGAGCCTTCTTGAAGGTTATGATTACTGGATTTCTTTGTTTTCTAATAATGCTAGCTTGTTCTGCTAACTAACTTGATGATAATATTTCAGAATCCTGTTAACAAAAATGATTACCTAGGAGAGTACACAGGTGAATTGATCTCACACAGAGAAGCTGATAAGCGTGGAAAAATATATGATCGTGCAAATTCATCTTTCCTTTTCGATTTGAATGAGCAGGTATATGTCTTGCATGATCTGCATTTTCTCTTAACTCAAGCTGCTCTCGATTTCCTCCTCATTGACTTGAGTTCCTTGTATTTAGTATGAGTGTGATCATCCATTTTTTTTTTATGTATGTTAGGTTTCATCAATCAAGTCCCTTCCCTCACATTTCTTTCTTCACAAACTATGACACATTTGGATTTCAAACTGATTATTGTCGAACTTGAATCTGCTTTCTGTTTCTGTTTCTTCACCAGTTTGTTCTTGATGCTTATCGGAAAGGAGACAAACTGAAATTTGCTAACCACTCATCAAATCCCAACTGCCATGCAAAGGTGAGTCCAGAAAATCAGATTGTGTGAAGGTTTAAAACTTACTTTTTGGGATTTGTAGCTTCAACATGATCTTTGAATTGTCACAAACAATGATTTCCCTCTTGTACTGCTGCCATAGGTGATTTTGGTTGCTGGAGATCATCGGGTTGGCATATTCGCCAAGGAACACATTGATGCTAGTGAGGAGCTCTTCTATGATTATCGCTATGGTCCAGATCAAGCACCTCCATGGGCTCGTAAACCCGAGGGTTCCAAAAGAGATGAATCAGAAGGTAGGGCGAAGAAACATCAATCCCATTGATGAGCAACGACCAATGTCCATCATATACAAACTTGTGGCTACTACCAAATACATTCTCAACACAAAGTCACAAACAAACTTGTGACATCTCATGAGAATATTTGAGCAACTGTTTCTGGAAAGGAAACTATTAATTTATTTGGCGATGCTAATATGCCCTAAAATTATGGATATAGGCACACTTAGACAATAAAATGGTTAAGAGATGAGGCAGATTAGTGTTAAGAGCAATAAGCTAGAAATTAGCCTAGCAGTTAGTAACCTGAGTATAAATTTCTTTTGGATGCAAAGCATATCTATTCTTCGAAACTTGTTTCCTGATTTGGCAGAATTTTTTCATGAATAATATGAATTCTCTTAATAGTGTAATAGATAAAAGTTTCTTGAATAAAATCCACATTGACATCTCTCTAAGGGGCTTATTTTTCGGAATGAATCGGTGAGTGCATGGACTTTCTACTAAGGAGTATTCAAATTTTGAAACTTTGTCATGGGGTTATTCCTAATTACAACTCCACTCAAAGTTGTGTGAGCAGTTACTTTAAACTAATAGATAAATGAATTATTAATAGATAGAACTTATTTTATCATTTAAGAAAGGTTTTATGAAAATTTATAAATTACAGAGCTTGTTATTACTAATAATAGTGAATATTGAATATTGTATAAGAAAATATGTTGAAAATTAACATAATACTATTTATAAAGAATTAACATGTGAGTCATATTAGACACTATGTTAAAATTGATTTTTGGCAGCAGTACATAGATAATGTTTTTTCCCAAAGCGCTGTTATAAATTTAAAAAAAATTATAAAAAAAGTGCGGTTAAAGGCTATTTTTAAAAAGTGTTGCTAAAAGGCCTTACGTAAGCTACATTTTAGAAAGCGCTGTTAAAGGCTACCTTTAGAAAGTGCTTTTGAAAAGTGTTGTTAAATGCTACTTTTAGAAAGCGCTTTTGAAAATTGTTGCTAAAGGTCATTCATAAACTCAACCATAGAAAGCGCTTCTGAAAAGCGCTGCTATAAGCCTATGAAAAAAAACCGCTTTTAATGAAAAAACGTTGCTAAATTGAATACATAAGAAAACGCTTTCAAAAAGCGCGGCCTTAAGGTGTTAATTTCTGGAAAAAAAAATGTTAATACTCTTAAACCCTAACTTTCTGAAAAACAACTCTCTCTCTCTCTCTCTCTCTCTCTCTCTCTCTCTCTCTCTCTCTCTCTCTCTCTCTCTCTCTCTCTCTCTCCGCCGTATCTCCCTCTCTTCGTGATAACTCCCTCCGCCATAACTCCCATGCTTCGTAACTCCCTCCGTCGGTCGTATCTCTCTCTCTCTCTCTCCACAGCTCCCTCCGCCGTAAATCTCACTGTTTCGTTTCAGAACTCCTTCTTTTTTAGCAAGGTATTTCTTCTTTTCCTTTTTTGGATTCGCAAGACATAGAATAGATTGTGATGTTGTTATTTGAATTCAATTGAAGATTGAATGACATTGTTGGTGAATTAGTGTTGAAGATGTGAAACTAATTATATAAATTATTGTAATTAATTAATGAGTTTGTTTGTTGTTGAAACAATTGAAATGAGACATTGATATTGTTGATGTGGTTGTTGTGAGAATTTGATTTTGAAATTGGTGTTGAAATAAGGTTGAAGATGATGAATAGTGATATTTGTGGTGAATTTATTTTGAGAATATTGGTGTTAATTTTGTAAGTTGATGTTGAGTGTTGGTGATGAATTGTTGAAATTAATTGATGATAATGACATTGTTGATGGATAATTGTTAGTGATTACTTTGTTTTGATATAATTGTTGATTGAAAATGATAATGAAATTAATTATTAATTTTTGAGGTTGAAGATGATGAATAGTGATGAAATTAATTGTTAATTGTTGAGGTTGAAGTTGCTATTGAGTTTAAATGTGGAATTGATAATTTTGGTGATTGTTTTATGCTCGAATTGATGATTTTTTGTTGGATAGAACTTTGAAGTTAACTGAACTTAAGTGATAAAATTGTTTTTTGTGACTTACTTGAGTTGAAACATTAAGTGTTAGATGTATCATTTGTGATGAATCAATGTATATCATGCTACTTGAATTAATGTGATTGAATTTGCGCGTCGATGCCATGTTGCTTAATTGAAGGAAGTGTTGATGTTTACTAAATTTGATTCTTGAGACTTTGACTTGTTTCTCCGATATATCGTGTTTGTCCTATTATATACTAAATTTGTCCTGTTATATTTGATACACCATCTGTAACACCCCAAATTTATTAGAATATTTGTTTTATTTATTTAAATATGAATATTCGTATTTTTGGTGATTTGCGGTGGTTGGTATGAAGTATTGAGAATTATGGATTTTGGGTTATTTATTTAAATAATAGTATATAATATGAATATATTGTTAAATATAATTCATAGTGTAAACATATTTGATTTGATATAATTAGATTTGATTTGAATATTTTAGGCCTTTTATGTTTTGGGCTTTTGTAAACCTAAAACTATAAATAGGATGCCTTGCTTTGTATTTTATACAACATAACATAGAACAGATTTCACAGTTGCAGTGTTTAGCAAGTGAAAGTTCTATAAGCAATAAGAAATCCCACAGTTGTGGGTAACACATTCTCTCCAAACATTTCTTCTCTCATTCTTCTCTTTCTTGTTATTCTTCTTCTCTTTTGTTGTTCTTGATAATTACTTGTTATTACCATTACTATCACATTGTGAGTTTGTTCATCAATCTTGAGATCAAGATTGAAGGGAATTCTTCATAGGGTGTGAGGTGAATTTCCAACATCTGGTATCTAGAGATCCGGTTGAGAGATTCAAGGAAGGAAGATAGTGATGGCGATGAACTATCCGAACGACAACTTTCCGGCGACCCTACCAATTCTCAAGAAAGACAATTATGAGAATTGGTGCAAGCAGATTAAGGTGATTTTTTGTTATCAAGATCTTTGGGATCTTGTGAAGGACAGAGTAACATCGCTTGGGGAGAACGCAACAGAGGCGGAAAAGGCTGCGCACAAAGAATTGAAGAAGAAGGATTATAAAGCACTCTTTATAATTCATCAATATGTTGATCCTGATAACTTTGAAAAGGTTAGTGATGTTGATTCAGCAAAAGAAGCATGAGAGATTCTTGAAAAGTCGTTTGGAGGCGCAGAGAAGGTGAAAGAGGTGAGGTTACAAACTCACAAGAGAACCTATGAGTTGCTTCAGATGGAAGACAACGAAAGCATTACAGATTTCTTCACCAGAGTTACAAAGTTGGTGAATCAAATCAAAGTATGTGGAGAAGCGCTGATGACGAAAGCAGTTGTCTCAAAGATTTTGAGATCGTTGGCTCCAAAATTCGACCATGTGGTAGTTGCCATAGAAGAGTCAAAAAATATGTCAGTGTTGATGAATGAAGAGCTTCAAGGGACTCTTGAGTCTCATGAACAGAGAATGGCTGAGAGAGCTGCAGGAAATTCGAAAGATATGGCTTTGCAGGCGCAGTCAGAAAAGGAAAGAAAAGGCAAAGGTAGCTGGAATGGCAACAAAGGAGGAAACCAGTCGAATCAGAAGAAACCTTGGAACCAGGGAAACCAAAGAGGTGGTGCTGCAGGTAAAGGAAGAGGTGGTGGTCGAAAGACAGACAAAAGCCACATTCAATGTTTCAATTGCCAGAAGTATGGTCATTATTTTAGTGATTTTCTAGAAAGGAAGAGAAATCAAGATACTGATACAAAGCTAGCGAAACATGAAGAAGAAGAAACATTGTTAATGGTCACAACAAGAGATGAAGAAAGATTCCAAGATCAGTGGTACTTGGACTCAGGATGCTCATCACACATGACTGGAAGGAAAGATTGGTTTGTCAACATGAAGCCCTCGTCGAAGAACACCATGAAGTTTGCAAATGACAACACTCTAGCAGCCGAAGGTGTTGGTGATGTTTTGATTATGAGGAAAGATGGAAAAAGGTCAACAATTTCCAATGTGTTGTACATACCAGACATGAAGAGTAATTTGCTCAGTATAGGGCAGCTTGTCGAAAAGAACTACAAGGTAGTTGTCGAAGACAAGATGATGAGAATTTTCGACGCAGGTGGTAGATTAATCTTGAAGGCTCTAATGTCTTAGAATAGGACCTTCAAGATTGGACTCAATGTGATGGAGCACAAATGTCTAGTAACTGCAGCCAGCAGAGATGAGTGGTTATGGCATTTTCGACTAGGTCATCTCAACTTTAATGACATCAGAGAACTGAAGAGAAGAAATATGGTTTCAGGATTACCAGAAATCGACATTCCAAGTGAAGTCTGTGAGGAGTGTGTTCATTCGAAACAACACAAGAATAGCTTCAGCAAGGATGCAGGAAGGAAGTCGAAGGCAATACTTGAAGTCATATACTCTGATGTATGTGGTCCAATCCAGGTGGATTCGATTGGTGGCAATAGATACTTTGTCACGTTTATAGATGATTACAGTAGAAAGTTGTGGACTTACCTCATCAAGAGGAAAAGTGATGTGATTGAGGTATTTTCCATATTCAAGTCCATGGTCGAAAGACAGAGTGGCCGAAAACTGAAAATTCTGAGGATTAATGGTGGTGGAGAGTATGTGTCGAAAGAGTTCGATACACTATGTGTAAAAGAAGGGATTGTGCATGAGGTGATGCCACCTTACACTCCACAGTAAAATGGGATTGCATAATGCAAGAACAGAACCATCATGAATATGGTGAGAAGTATGTTGAATGGAAAGCATCTACCTAAAGAATTATGGGGAGAAGCAGTTTCGACAGCAACATATATATTGAACAGATGTCAGATGAAGAAGCTTGAAGGAATCACACCAGAAGGATGTTGGTCTGGTGTCAAGCCTAGTCCCAGTCACTTGAAGGTGTTTGGATCTATAGCACATAGACATGTGCCAGATCAGTTGAAAAGGAAGCTTGATGATAAATCGAATCAGATGATCTTGATAGGATATCATTCAA